CGGGAGGAGACCAAGGCGCCGGCACAGGGTGCCCAGAGAAGCTGTGGCTGCCCCATCCCTGGCAGTGTTCAAGGCCAGGTTGGACACAGGGGCTTGGAGCAACCTGCTCTAGTGGAAGGTGTCCCTGCCCGGGGCAGGGGTTGGAGCTGGAGGAGCTTTAAGGTCCCTTCAACCCAAACTGTTCTGGGATTCTATGATTCTACGAGAGGAAGCTGCTGTTAAGGGCTGTGTGAAGGTAACATGGGTGCTGATGTTGGGCAATGCAGTTGAAGGGAGAGTGGAGGAAAGGGTGTCCTTCAGAACAACAAAATAATCCCACAATCCTAAATTAGGACAGTTACAAATTTTTTTAAGGTATTCTGGGAACATAAACTAAGCAGAAAGGAGGTGCAGGCACACTGCAGGAGACTGACACTTGTCCGGGGAGAAAGAGGCCTAGGACAAGACACTCATCAATGGTCACAGCCCTGCAGCTTCCAAACGGAGAGCAAAAGGCTTTTGGCAAAACCGCTCTCAACAGAAACCAGGCAGGACAGATCCAAAGTGGAAATCAATGAGACAAAACCTCATCAGAGAATCAGCTCAGTTGTAAAAGACCTTTAAGCTCATCCAGTCCAACCATTCCCAGCCCTGCCAAGGCCACCACTAACCCCTGGCACTGAGGCCTCGGCTCCACGGGCTGTGAACACTTGCAGGGACGGTGACTCCAGCCCTGCCCTGGGCAGCCTGTTCCAATGCCTGAGCACCCTCTGGGCAAGGAATTGTTCCTCAGCTCCAGCTAAACCTGCCCTGGGGCAGCTTGAGGCCGCTTCCTCTTGTGCCATCCCTTGTTCCTTGGGAGCAGAGACCAGCCCCCTCCTGGCTCCATCCTCCTGTCAGGCACTTGCAGAGAGCGATCAGGTCCCCCCTGAGCCTTCTCTTCTCCACACTAAACCCCCCAGGTCCCTCAGCCCTTCCCCATCACACTTGTGCTATTATCTCTAGAATAAGAGGGTGAACAGTCCTTTGTGTCCATTCCTTTCCATTATGCAATAGAGAACCCATAAGAACAACATAATCTCATACAATCCACCTTCCCTACCTTCTTTGGGGAACTTAGCAGAGATCTTGCTGTGGAAAAATAAGCTCATGGTTGTGCTCACAGGTCGGGTGTATCTGCACTAAGGTTCCCATCTCAGTGGGATGCAGAGGATGGAGATGGGAAGGGAGTTAAAGGGAAGGCAGAGGCATTAAGCACATTTGTGATCTGATGCTGTCAAAATAGTCAAGTGTCAAACGTGTAAGAGCAGAGCTATATGAGGTGTCAGATCAAGTGAGATCTAGCCCCTAATTCCTTTCTTCCCACGTATGCCATCTGGAGTCTTCCAGGCGAAACACAAAGGCCTTACCAAAGGGAATTATTCATGGATAGCAGCCCTCCATTCCACAATCCCCACCTAACCTCCAAGCAGAGCTCATCAATAGATCACATCCCTGCCCAGGCTGGCAGCGTTACTGTTTTGCCCAAGGAATTTATCCTTGGATATAAGCCGTGTGAGGGGAAACTCTTTAGTATTAGAGAGATGAAACACAGAGACCAAGGGGGAGAGGCTGCAGATTTTGGCAATGGCCTTCAGACAGTGTCCACGCTGGAGCACAAAGGATGGGAGAAGGCACCAAGGAAGCAAACTCACAAACTACCTACACCCAGTACAACTAGTGTAAGAGAATTGTGGAGCAAATAGGAAAAATACACTTGAATTAAACCCCAGGTACAGGGAGGAAACGTGCCACACAAGTGGTTTGGAGAGAGAGGAGAGGTTACTCCAGGATCAGCTTAAATTCACCCCATCAATGACCAAAACAGCACAGAGAAAGCACCTCCCCAAAGTGATAATACAGATCTTTTTATCACTTTTCTCTATGTGAAAAGTTACTCCTTTAGAGCCATTTGCTGTCCCAAAGGAATACAGAAGAAGGGGCAAAAGGCAACATTGTATGTGTAAAAGTTACACACAGATACAGAAGATTTCTCTATGTGTAAAGTTACTCCCTTGAGAGCCACTTGCTGTCCCAACGGACTAGAGGAGCAGGGGTAAGAGGCAACGTTATACTGCTTCATCCAACGTGTTCAAGCACCTGGTGATGATGTGAACAGCACCCAACAGACTTGTGTGGTGACAGTGAACTCTCCAAACCTCCCTCAGCCCCAGGTTAAGAAATTCAGCAGTCATTTTATTTAAAATAAAAAAAATCAGTATACAGTTGAACATAAGCCCAGTGTTTAGAACCAGCCCCTCTCAAAGGTCCAGGTTTGATGGTTTACAGACTATTAGACACCAAAGGAATCAGTAGCATAAAGAAACCATTCTCATTTCCCCAAAAAATTAATGTCTCCAAGACAGCAGCATCCATGATCAGTTTGTTTTCCACTGGACTTGCTCTAAGAACCAAGAGTTTTCCACATCATTTTGCAGGCAAATCTTATCTTTATCGTAGTAATTGCTCTGTTTGCTTTATCACACAGGGCAAGGGTCTCTAAGAAGCCTCACAGCACTGATAAAACAACCCTAAAAGAGCCCTCTGACAACTCTTCCTTCTAGAACACCAGAAATGTTTCGAGAGCTGTTGAGTTGGAACTAAAAGACGAAGGGAACCCTCAATTCACACAATTTGGCAAAAAGATTATCCATGAATTAGATGCTCCAGTGGCTGCAGGAAGCAGAAAGAGGCTTCCCCTCCTCCCTCGAAGGATCCAGCAGTGCTGAAGGAGGGATGTGTATTCATACGCTCATTCCCCCTTTGGATGTTGCACTCTTCACATCGCTGCTGCTTCCTTCCTTCCCTCCTCAAGTCCTCCAAAGCCCAGAGCAGCCTCAGTGGGGTAACAGCAGCTTGGCAGAAGCAGGGAAAGTCCAGGCAGCAAAAGATTTCATTTATTACTATAAACATGGTCTAAGGCTCCACATGATTCTTACAAATAAATCCAGGAAGAACTATGGAAACAAACTGGCTTCGCTACATGTGGGTCAGGATCAGACGTTCTCAGATCTTCTCAACCATACAAAATACTCTTCCCCTCTCACTCCCATCATGGGGATGGGAAGGCAGTTCACTCTCTAAGGTCAGCAATGTCCCTGTTGGGTGCCCTTCCACATTCAGTGACAATACCTCTGGCACCCTTCAGGGCAGATCAGTTTTAAGAACCCCCCTGTGAAGAGGGAGCAGAAAGGGAGAGGGGGCAGGCATTCAGTCTCTGAAATGAGCATCTGAAAGTCATTGACACGATGACTTGTGTTGACTCCACCACTTTAATGGTTGTTCTTGGCTGCCTCTTTAGCTGCAATAATCAGAGGAGTGAGGCTTGAGAGAGGCTTGGCAATTTTCAGGAACTGGTGCTAGAAGGAAGAATAAAGAGAAAGGGTTAAATCGGACCCAGAAGTCTCGTGGCTATTCAAAGTATTGGCACCTTGATCATGTGAGGCAATCAGCTTACTCTAATCTCTGAACAGGAGAAACCAAAAGGTCTTGTTACCACCATGACATTTTGGGGCTTGCCTGAAGCGATGGACAGATTTGCACCCAACACATGCTAAATTCTCCAACGCTTGTACATGTTCAAGACCAACCAAAACTCAGAGAATTCCCCTAGAGAATTATAAAGTCTCGCAAAAATCTACCTATTTCCCTCAGTGCCATGGTTAGTAGGTGGTGGTCTTGGTAGTCCTGGGGTAAATGCTGGACTTGATCTTAAAGGTCTTTTCCAACCTGGTTGATCCTATAGTGAAATACAGTGTAGATCAAAGCTGTACTAAAAACAACCTGTTGGTTTCAAACACAAGGCACGGGGCTTCCTGCAGGAATCATCTCTCATTCCTCTCTTCCCTGTTATCACAGGTCTGGTGAAGGCATTGACTTGGCCTTTTATGGATATCAGAATCCCAGACTGGTTTGAGTTGAAAGAGACCTTAAAGCTTGTCCAGTTCCAACCCCCTGCCAGGGCAGGGACACCTTCCACTAGAGCAGGTTGCTCCAAGCCCCTGTGTCCAACCTGGCCTTGAACACTGCCAGGGATGGGGCAGCCACAGCTTCTCTGGGCACCCTGTGCCAGCGCCTCAGCACCCTCCCAGGGAAGAGCTTCTGCCTCTAGATCCACCCAAAATCTTCCCTGTTTCAGTCTGAACCCTTCATCCATTGTTCTATCACTCCCATCCCTGAAGTGTGCCAAGCAACTGGAATTCTGGAGAGCAGCACAGAGCTTGCACCACAGAACCATTCAGCCTCCTACACAAGGTGCTCTGTTAAGTAAAACAATATTGATCATCACAACAGCTCTCAGATGAGAGTGAAGGATGTAGGGCAAGCTCACAAGCTGTTCTGAGAACAAAAAGCATCTCTATCCCACAGGACTTCTGAGCATCAACAGGGAACAATCACCCAAAGCAACATGCTTCAAAGTTGAAGGGGAAAAAATAACATCAGAGACTACAAAGTAGTTAAACCCAGGCAGAAATGTTAAGGTCAAAGTGTTCTGCTCCAAGAAACAGAACATTACTGCTCTCTGGTATTTTGGGGCTGGAAAGTCCAGCAGAAGAAGTCATCTTTCAACTACTGCCATTCTGCCAGTGATTAATGGTTCATCACAGCCTCAAAAGGCAGCAACACACCCAAAACTGAATCCACCAAACTAGTTGAAAGGAAGGAAAACAAAAATGGGAACTGTCTCACACTTGAGGTCTGGGTGCCCCTGAGCACAGATTCATTTTACAAAGAGCTACATTTTCCACCCCCAGAGCAAATTTGACCGAAAGAACACATGAACCACTCCTCACATCCATGTCAGTAAGAAGCCTGGCAGCTTGGCCCTCCCCTTTCACCAGGAGATCAGACTAAAGACACCAGGTTTTCAGTGGAATAACTGATGACAGGATGATGGAACACTGACACAGGGCGCCCAGAGAAGCTGTGGCTGCCCCATCCCTGGCAGTGTTCAAGGCCAGCTTGGACACAGGGGCTTGAAGCAACCTGCTCTAGTGGAAGGTGTCCCTGCCCATGGCAGGGGGTTGGGACGGGATGAGCTTTAAGGTCCCTTCTAATACAAACCAGTCTGTGATTAAGGTATCTCACAAGCTTTGTTCCATCACCTCCTTAGGGAGTGGTATCTGGCAAAATGTGGTAACACCAAACTGCCCCAGTTAATGCAAGCTATGAATAATCCAAAGAGTTTCAGGATCACTCCACCAGGAAGGAGACAACCAGAGCATCTGATAGCTAGAAGCCTTCCTGCTGTCCAAATCCGAACAAGCACAGCAAGACCATGACAACACATACAGATGTCTTGGCCAGCTGTGTGAAGAAGCCATGGGATTCAAGGGGCTCAGCATCTGGAAGGCCTGGGGCACAGCTACTACAGCAGGTTGGTTACAGAACACACTTCACAGTTGCTGCTAGTAGGAAGAACAGCATTAAAAGGGAGTAATTTGCTAACACTTTATTATAGATTTTGGTTTGGGGTTGGTTGGTTGGTGGGTTTTTTCCTGGCAGGTTTCCTTACCTGTGGCTGATGCACTATTTCAGACCCCAAGCAAGATCTTGCCATAACCCTGGCTCCCTCAGGTGTCCCTGCCCATGGCAGGGAGGTTGGAACTAGATGATCTTAAGGTCCTTTCCAACCCAAACCATTCTATGATTCTGTGATTGCAGGATTACAGTGATTCCTGCTCCCCATCACCTACCTGCAGCAGCTCTTTGGCAGAACCTCTCTTTTCCACGTCCATTTCAAGACAACGATTTAAGAAGTCTCTGAAGATGGGTGAAAGCTTCTCTGGGTTCTGCAGTTCTGGAGTCCCGTTAGTGGCAATGAGATACAGGGCCTAAAGCAACAACAAGCACCAAAGAAACAGGAGGTTATGAAGGTCAGATTCCATCTCTGGATTAGAGACACCCATTTCTCCTCTGCCTCTGTTCAATGGGGAGGAAGAAAATCCCACCTTATCAGGGTGACTAATCAATGCTTAATTTTCAGCAAACAGAATAGCTGCCAGCCCTATTCTAACATGGATGGGATCCAATCCTTTATTGTTTTACCCTCCTAATCTGGGTTGGGATCCTGCAGTCCTCTCAAGGGATTAGGAGGACAAAAACACCATTCCAGACTGTGTTTATATAGGGAAGTTAACTGGCATGACTCTACCAAGTGCTAGACTCCTGCAATAACTATATCCTCATGGGAAGGTGCCCATGAATAAATAGGGGTTTTTTCTCTTAGCACTTTGCCTGAGTGCACAAGGCCTAAAACTTCACTATGATGAAGATGCAGCTGGCTCCTCACAATAGACATCGAGCAGGCCCTCAAAAGCAGCTCTGAACATCCTCCAGAAACAAGTCGTTTTGCGACTGTTTGGGGTTGAAGCATTGACTCTGAGAATGAAGGCACTCAGAATATCATCCAGTTCTGGATTTCATGCAAGAAATTTCCTGGATGGATTTTCAAAGGGAACGGAAATCAGTCACAGCCCCTTTGAGCACATTACTCAGCACATCCCATGGGAGCAGGCTGATAGCCTGGGAATTGGCACAAGCTGAGTTAAATGAGGCCAAAGTACTGTTAACTCGGCCACCTTCCTTTAACTCAACACCCAGTTCCCTTCCTTTCATTCTTTGCTGCTGCTTTTCTCACCCCAAAATCACTTCCAGAGCAAGAGATGGAGACAAAAGTTAAACAGAATCTTCCTAGATCCCCTCATCCTGTGTAGCTGGTGGAGAAGCCATAAACCTGGCTTATATTAAGAGCAGTTACATCCCTACAAACTGACAGCATCCCCCCTTTCATTAAAAACTAAACTAAGGGGAAAGACATCAGGAGGCTTAAGTCCTGCCAAAGGTGTATTAATCTTGCAGCTTTATTTGGGACATGCAAGCAGGAATAATCAGCA